CCTTAAAGAACGCCGGCCGTGAGAAGGGTAGCAAACTACTCAATTCTTATCTAATCTGAACCATTTTCTGGTTTTATTGATCAGTTGATCCATTGTATAACACACATATTGAGTTTAATCTAACCAGGTTGGTATCGATTATGATTATGACCTTTTCATAATTAGCAAACGTTCATTATTCTGAGACGCTCACCTGTGATTAATCAAAGTTTGACGCAATTAGAAGATTAATCTCTGAGAAGTGATTTTCAATATGGATTGTTTCTGTTGCTTAAGAATGACTTTTTCAAACAGTGAAACAACCTCTTGAATGAAACAACTACAGACAGTTTTTTTGCTAAGTGTGAGAATTATTTTTCTAGCACTTAAAGACATTTTTGATATGATTTCTCTGTGTTCCTTTCGAGGCTTTTTAGTTCGCTTTGATTGCTCTCCGTGTTTTCGATTTATTGACATGTAACATTCAAACATTAAGTGTTTAAATTGAGAAAGAGAAATGGTCGAAATTATTCTCCTTTTTCTTTATTCTGTCTATTCCCCTGTCTTATTTCTTATTCTCAACAATGGTCAGAAAGGCAAAACTAACTCTTTGTTTTAACTAAAGGATTATTGAGAGGGAGTTGAAATTATGACTCCAATGTGGTAACATGAAAGTGACTGGAATTAGTGCTTGGACATAGTATTTATTTAATTATTAGTTTAACTAAATTTAGTTAATTCAATGGGATATTGTCCGCTAAACGATTATTATTAATAAATATTATTAAATGATCTTAAAATGTTACAGACATTTGTTGGAATTCACGCAAACTCGTCAGCAAACAGACCACCCTCTGTCCATTCAGGGTTCATCGTGTGTCCCTACTGACAGAAGGTGATCCCTTGTGAGTAGGCCAGTAGGCTAACGAGGACATTAGAAAATTTTCAGAATAGATAATAGGTGTCAAACCATCTTCTATTCGAAAAGTAACTTAAGCATGTTTATAATGTAAAAATATTGTCATTCCCATCTTTCGACTTTCTTTTAACCTCCTGAAACATGAAAAAGGTTCTAATTTTTGAATCTTGATCTGTGATTATTTTCTCGCCATCTTCTCCATTCAGGTGAAATCAGAATGCTGATAAACACTGAGACAACGAAAATACAGCCATTCAAACGTTTAAAGTTCATCAATCAACAGCTTGTACTTGGGTCATATCGAATGAATGTAATATTCAACCCAGCAACTTTGTAAGTTTGGTAAACACGATCCACGTTACATTAATCGACTTTGAACTGATCAAAATAATTGAAATTGTGAAAAACAAGATTGATATATTATTTGATCATCATACTGTCCCAACTTTAAACTATAAACTGGTCCTTACTCTATGGGTAAAGAATCAAACTGAAGGTAACTTTCGTTCTTCAGGAATAGATAATAACCAACGATTGGAAGTCCCCATGGTCCAGACGGTAATTGGAATAATCTTTTGATTGTTGTTACAAGAAAATTAAACACAAATAAAAATATGAGTCAAGTTGCAGAAAAGACAAAATAATCGGTAAACATTTCAATTGACTCAAGTTGAGAAATGATGTTTAATGACAACAAACCTAGTAATCAAGAAAACTTAGTAACTGCGACATGATATTAGATTTTCATTGATGATAATGATAATGATAGCACCATGAAATTAAGGTAAATTATTCATAATCACAGCTATGAAATTTATAAGAGGAGATGAGTTTCTGGTTTTAATGATCAGTTGATCCATTGTACAACACACATAAGTATTACTTATTACTGAAACACAAGTGAACGACTAAATCAAACCAAGTTGGTCATGATTCTGATTATAATCTTTTCATGATTACAAAACTTTTACATTATTTTCAAATGTTAACTCGTGATTAATCACCGAATGACGCATTTGGATTATTTAATTCTAAGAATTTCCTTGTCAATATGGATTGTAATTGTTGATTACAAATGACTTACAATGTTAAATCTACATGGGTAATCAAAGTGATTTGGTTGGTTTTTATTCTGATTGTATCCTTCTCATTATTTAAAATCATGCATTATTTTGAGGTGTTGATGCGCGATTCATCAGCATCTGACTCATTCAGATTGGTTTCTGAGAAATTCATTCAATATTGATTTTATTTTTTGATTATCATGACTTTTACTAACAGCTAAACGCCCATTTCAATGAAATAGGAAACAAAGGTCACTAGTGACTGCTGTTAATCAAAATAAAATCAAAATTTTGTTTCATTAACTGGCAAGGTATATTCAATCTATTATACATTTAATTTCTGACATTTACCAACAACGATAACTGATCAATTCATACAATAATTTAAGTCAAAACACCAGATTTTGTGCAAAGATCGTGGCCAAACGGAAATCATAATATTCTAAGGCAAATTTTTACACAGCCTGAAAGCCATGGTTTGACTTTCATGGCAAATTTCAACTCTTCACTCGAAGCCGAGATTTGGCACGTGTAAATCACCCAACAGTAGACCAAAACATCATTAAACTAAAAAAAATTGCTTCCCTCCACAATGCTTTTGAGTATATTGTAATATAATGTTTTCCTATCACCCAAACCGATTTCCTCAAGAATCTAAGTTTCTAAAAACCTCAAGTATCTTTTGTTGCTGTAGTCAAATCATAATCATCATTTGGCTATGGAATTTCTTTAAAAACCCTTTCCGTTGCATGCAGAAATAACTGATCATGCTAGATGTTTAAAAAATGCCAAAACTTTGACTTTCGGGTCAAGAGTTGCTACCTGATTGCCTTGAAGTTGAATGGCACACAAGAATTGAAAGCATTTGTGTGATTGTAAAATTTCTACTTTCAACGTTCAAACTTAGATTCCATTTTGTTCAGTTGTAGAATCAGATTTTGTTTTATTTTGATTTTTCGCATTGATAATGATTTTTTTCATGAAGAATTCGAGTCTCTAAATGGGAAATGTATTCATGATCCAGCCTCTAGTTGAATATAACTGGTAAACTCGATGATTAAAACCTAATGTCCATTTTGATTCTTACTTCTGCTAATGAACAGTTAAGCTCATGTGTTGAGAAAGCACGAAAAATTCGAAAAAAAAGATTAAAATCAGGGGTACATGGAACACGATCAGTAAATGTGGAATAAATTCAGATTAGGTGTTCTAATTTCAAATTCTTGATCTAAAGCAAATAAAAAGAAAAGAAAGAATTGCAAGAAATATAAATTTATGCATAAACTGTTATGAGCTTACAACCAAATCAATTACATGTGATAATTCACTGTTTACATAGATTCATTATAAAATATTGCAATTCAAAATTTAGGCATATGAAGGGTTAGCCAATTCAGCTGTATAATTTCCAAGAAGTCTGAATATATACGCATTTAAGTTTGCGCCTAAACTCGAAACAGCCAAGCTAAACATCATTAAGTACCCTTGTGTCAATGTAAGACCATCGATGGCACAAATTGCGATGATAATAGCAAGCATTGCTATTAAACCGAACACCATTCCAAACACCATAATAATTCGACCAATGGTGAGAACTTCTCTCCACTGTTTAACGACGGCTGCCAACAGGACTCCATTAATGACAATGCCGATAATAGCAAGGCCGATTCCCGGTCCACTGGCTAAAACTAATGATGCGGTTAAAGGGATGACATTGAATGCCACGAGGAAACTGAAGATTCCTATCAACCGCGATTTTGAAGTACTGCTAACTTCTAACGGCTTCTCATCCTCTGTATCTTTCATGGTTGTTTCGTATATCCAACTTGATGTTGAGTTAATATAGCAGATAAACTAGCAATTAAAATTGAAAATAACTTTTTGAGGAATCACTTGAGAAGCAGAATAGTAAATGAATGATTTATATACTGAATGTAATAACCATGTATAGCATTGGAGTTGGGACCATGATCATGATTTTATCGGGGCAATTTACTCAATTCTCATCTAATCTGAGCAAATTTCTGGTACAATTGATCGCTTGATCCAATCTATAACGCACTTATTATTCTAATCTAACCAAGTTGGTATCGATTATAATGATGATAACCTTTCCATGATTGGCAATTGTTCATTATTTCATGATTTCTGAGAAAATTGTTGCGATATTAGTTTTTTTCTGTTTATTAACATGACTTTTTCAAAAAAGAAACACAATCTTCACTGACATATGAAACTCATTTTGGCATTAAACTAAAATCGGCTTCGATTAATCTCTTTTCACTAACAATTTTAATTTTAATTCAAGCAATCTATTTTCAAAATAATCAAATTTTTAACGAAATGATTGTGAACAATAGATGAAATTTGAATTTCACTTGATGAGTGATGCAAATTAAAGACCATTTGCATGCTCGCCATTGCTAGTGGTCAGATCGAGTCCAAGTCTTCAGACAGCACAAAAAATCCAAAAAATAAAAGAATTGGAATCATTTATATTTTTGTCGAAAAAAAATTTATTCATAGATTGTGCTTACAACCAAATTAAACAGATTACTTGTGATAAAATGTAAAACATATTAAGCTTAAGCATTCGTCAATTCAGCTGTATATCTTTCAAGAAACACGACTAAAATTACATTGAAAAGTAACGCAACACTCAAGATGAGTTCGTTCACAATCAATAATCTTCTTTGTGATTCTGTAAGCTCATTGGCAGCACCAAGCGTGATACCTCCAGCCACAATTGCAATCACACTGAACCCGATTCCAATCACGAGAAGTATTTTATCAATTTTAAGTACAACTCTACAGTAAAACTCCCTCTTCAATGATCAGATGATCCATTTTATAACCAAAATTACTCAAAAATAAATGAATAAATTAAATCAAACCAAGTTGGTCTCGATTCTGATTCTAATCTTTCATGATTGGAAAACTTGTACATTATTTTGAAGTGTTAACTCAGCCAATGACTCATTGAAATGATTAAGTTCTGAGAATTTCGTTACAATATGATTTGAGTTGTTGATTAAAATGACTTACAATGTTAAATCTGCACCGATAATCAATGTGATTTGGTTGCATTTTTCCTAATCCGTTTCATTGAAAGTCATTGTGAGGTCATGACTCGTAATTCATTATACATATTATGTATTTGACTCATCTCATCTGGTTCTGAGAAATATTCAATATTGACTGTTTTTCTTTATTAACAATTAAACGCCTACTTCAACCTTGAAACTTGTTCAATTTAAAAAATGTGATCATTGCGCGATCCTAGAGCCAACAAATGTTCAACTCAACTCGAGTGAATTTTTCAGTGCTCAAAGGCTTTTTCATCTAAAAATGGATCTTGCCAATGTTACAAAAGCTAATGATTTTAACTTCAGTACTTTTCATGGCGAATTCGTTTTTATCGATTATGATAGTATAAAACTGAGTCCATTCGGGAAATCAATAAAATAATTAGATTTCTGTAAAGGGTTGACACGAAATCTCATTCTTTTCCCCTTAATAATTTCTTAATCATCAATCTTTACCCGTATTGTCATTCATTCAATCTCATTGGTCAAACTTTACTAACCAGATATTTTATCTAACTCAAACACTTGTATATAAACTGTTTCCTTTTCCACATTCTTTGTCAGTCGACCTTTGTCAGTTAGTCATATTCCATACTTGTAAGACTTTTAGTCTTTATTCACTTACACAGTCAGTTATACTGTTGTTCCCTTTATTCAAGAAATCTTTGAGACTTCTTATCCTGACCTTAATTCATTTACTTACTGACCTTTAAGTTCTCAATCTTTAATAATTACAGTTAATGTTTGATCTTTAATATTCAATACTCAAGTTAAAACTACAAACTAATAAAGTGCTCTCTCTATATGAATTAAATTCATTCTGTGTGAGATTCATTAAATATTGTTGTTAGGCTTTGTGTGCCTTAACCCCACTTATTAGGGTGTCAAATAAGTTTTGCGGTTCGTTATGAAAAAAATATTTGATTGTGATCTTTTTTGGCTAAGATATTACTTAGCCTTAATTAATCAGTATAAAACAAAGAAAATCAAAATCGGACAAATATTCACGAAATTATTGCATTTTTACAGCTTTTTAAAGGGTACAAAAATCGACCAAAATTTTTTTTTCACCAAATTTTTTCATCAAATTTTCTAGTGACGCGTCACAAAATTTTTAACCTCAGATTCTCAATACTTGCGAACCTAACCTAAGTACCTGATCTCATCTCTATGGACCCCAATCTATCTTAATTTTTAGAAAATTCATTCAAAGAAGGCTAGGTCTATTCAGGAACGGAGTTCCAAATCAATTTTGTCGATTTTTTCGCTATAAATTGTCGGACGCTCACAAAAACGACATTAATCATTCGATTTGGAAAATTGAAACGATATTTTGATACTACGAGTCCATAATTCGATTTAATGAAATTTCATCAATTCCAAGCTAAACTTCATACCCAACCGCAAAACTTATTTGACACCCTAATAGAAATCTTAGATTTCTGTCATCGATCTCGGTACACATTCAGTGTTTCATTGATTGTGGTCTTGTCACAGACCCTCACCCTAACATTTCGATAAAATTGGGTTTGAAGTTGGTACTTCGAAAGCTTTTTGTACAGTTTCGGAGAATTTTCTCATTAACTTTCAACGTCAATCAGAAAGTTAGTTCAACAGCAAGAAAACTACACGATTTATTTATGTAAAATAAAGTCCTACAACTTTAACGATCTTGAGATTTCGCGATTTATACTTAGACCATATGAACGAATGTAGTCAACTCATTGTCGATTTTATCATTAATTTTGATTTTTGGTTTTTAATAAGTTAGTGAAAGTTCCCCTGTTTTGAACAGAAAATTTAAATCCAATGAACCCACCAGCAAACGCAATTAAGCAGACTATTGTCCTCAATCCTATTGCTATCTTAAATTATTTGATTTAGTTGGTGATTCGGATGGTGTTGTTAATGCAGATGGCTGTGGGTCAGTTTTACTTTTTCCTGTGATCTTATTGTGATTTGTGCAAATTTCGTTGTTACTTTGGAACTTCAAATAGCTCAGGTTGATTGGCATTATTTGGTTTCAAATTTGTCAATTAACAACTCTCCAATGAAATACTGTTATAGGAAATTTTATTATAACCTCAAGTATTAAGAAAACACAAAACAATTGAAAGATTGAGATCATGAGCACATATTGAAACTCGATCAGTGAATGTAATAAAAAGAATTACTTAGATTCACTAATTTTAAATTCTTGATTAAAAGCAAATTACAGTTATCCCAGAAAAATAATTCCATTTATAAACTGTTATGTGTTTCAACAAGACAATAAAATTACATGTGATGAACCACTTTTTCCATGGATGGAGCTTCCATTGTAAAAGGTTTTGAATCAAAACTTTTGGCCTTTGAAGCACTGGCCAATCTAGCTGAGTATGCTCTAACAAGCACAGCTAAAACTAAATTGCTGAATAACGCAAAAATAAAGCTAATTATGCGAACACAGTATACGATTTCATTGGCTTCTAAAGCATTAAGCTCCATATCAAAAAGTTTTTTGGTCTCCAACACAATTCCTATTATGGGTAGCACTACTCCGAGATAAAGTATTATTTTACCAATGTTGATAATATCTCTCCACTGTTTAATCACGGCTGCTAACATGAGTCCATGAAAGACAATGCTGATTAGAGTAACACCAATTGCTGGTCCATTGAGTAGAAACACTGCTCCGCTCAATCCGATGACATTCAATGCAATGAAGAAACTGAAGTATCCTTTCAACTGCGTTACTAAAGTACCACAACCGTTGTCTTCCCAATCAATCTCTAGCTCATTCATGGCTCGTTTGTAGATTCAGCTTGATGTTGAGTTACTAATTAAGTTACTGAGTTATGAATTTAAAATGATAATTAAAAATAACTTGTTGAAACAATCACTTGAGAAGCAAAATAACAAATGAATGATTTATATACTGAATGTAACAACCATGTATAGCAATGGAGTTTAGACTATGATCAAGATTTATCTTAGCAATCTACTCAATTTTTTATCTAATCTAAAAAAATTTCTGGTTTCATTGATCAGTTGATCCATTGTACAACACACATATTGAGTTTAATCTAACCAGGTTGGTATCGATTCTGATCAAAACCTTACCATGATTGGCAATCATTCATTATTCTAGGTGCTGACTTGCGATTAGTCAGCGTTTGATGCATTTAGAAGATTAATTTCTGAGAAATGCGTTTCGATATGGATTGTTCATGTTGATTAAAAATGACTTTTTCAAACAGTGAAGCACCCTCTTTAATTAAAACAATTTCAAAAATTATTAATATTAAACTAGAGACTGCTGAGATAAAGACTGGCCCTAAATTAGCTGACACGATCCATGTCATTATCCAATCTGACTTTGAACGGATCCGAATGGCTGAATTGTGATTGATATACTTTTTGACCATGATATTGTCCCAACTTTAAAGTCTAAACTGGTCCATACTTTTTTGATAAAGAATCAAACTGAAGGTAACTTTCGTCTTTTGAAATGGATAATAACCAACCATTGGAAGTCCACATGGTCCAGATGGCAATCTGATAATCTTTTGATTGTAGTCACAAGAAAATTGAACACAAATATTACTATGCTGTATAAGGGTTGAGAAGAGACAAAAAAAGTCAATTATCAATAAAAACATTTCAGTTGACACAAGGGGAGAAATCATTCAATCAAGTCATGAAACATTCGTTAAGAGTACTTTTTTCAATATTGAATTGTGCTTCCTTGAAATGACGATTAATTGCGATCATCGGAAAATTTTGAACTCTTGAAGTTCTGGAATCACTTGTTTGTAGTTCCTGAGAAATGTCACCAATCTCTTCGGGTCCGCTCACAATGAACAAATTTTCAGCTGATAGGCTAATACTAAACGAAATTCGCCTGCCGAGACTTTACTCCTTATCTGTTGTAACACATGTGCCATTGTCGACAAATAATTTGCTTTAACCAATGATATAACATCAACCTTTGTAGATCTAGAATAAAATTTGCAGCTCTCATTGCGGCTTGTTTCGACATTATCATTATAAAGATTTTTTTTGGCAAAAATTTAACAATCATAATCTGAACAATAACTAAAATCCAAACAATTTGGTGTTGAACTGCACAGTTGTTCATAGTCCTCGACTTTAGATCTTTGCACAATATTTGAAGGGTTCATAATTTTAGAGCCAGTGAAAGCATGATGAGCTTTAATGAAATGAACACGATCATAAAGCTTAACAGTAACCTGAATAAGGTATGGGCTCTAAAGTTTGTCAGTATAATGGCCCATATTTATTTGAATTTAACAAGGATTTAATTGAAAATTCATTATTTTTTTGGAGACAATTATTGATAGTGGACCATGTTCAGCAGCTCTGACTATTTTTTCACTAAATTTTAACTTAAATACTTCGTCAAATTCAAATACATTTGGACCATTATACTGACAAACTTTAGGGCCCATACCTTATTAGAATCAACTTGATGTGCATGAATGTCACCAATGCGAGTTATTGGAATGAATGAAGTCAAGTATTCTTCTGTGAATTTCTTAATTGCTACCACATTGAATTCAATCGTCCTAAGATTTGGAAACAGAAGTTGAAACCAAGTATAGCTTCCAGATTCTACAAAACAGCCAGAAACATCAAATCGATCACCATACTCAAGGATAGGTTATTATCGCTTCCATGTCCATAGTAAACTTATTAACTCGACAAAATCTGATAATGGAGTAGATGGACGAGTTCCTTCACGAGCACATTCATAACCAAATGGATATGGAATGGGATAACCTGATGGTATGACCAACGGTTCAAACATGTAAAAGTTGTAAATATATTTAGACTCGGAATCAACTTGCTTTGCGACTGTTTGAGTCTCATTTATTGAAATGACTTACTGAGTCTCAATCCATTCTGGATAGTAAGAATGAGAATCGATGAGGCAATGAGCTCTTTACATCAGAGTAAAAGTCAATGTAAGTTCCATTAGGATTAGTACAGTAAAAACAGTGATTAACAGTACGACCATTGATCAGCTCGTATCCTATGAAGGAAGCTTTATCACTGATACTGTTGGCATAAACCATCAACACTGCTGGTCCCAAATGAAACCACATCTTTAAACATTTCTGAAGAAGCGACAATATCTTTTGGTTCAAACCAATCTTTTATCGTCGCAACTTTCTCATCCTGAGTCAAGTCCAACCTTGTACACGTATTTTCTTAAACAGCGATCTTTTGCTCTGTCGAAGGTTTTGTGTTAAGAGTTTTGAGTGCTCGCAACAGCTAATTCAAATTTTCAGATTAGGTACTGAATTGCTTGATAAAAAACAAATGATGTACTGCAAAACTTTGAGTTAAGAGTAGCATAAAACTGTCCATTTGGGAAACCAAATTAAATTCAATAGTTTCCGATAAAACCGAGTTCAAAGCTGAAACTTGGAACGCCTTTTGTGCGGTTTTGGAGATAAATTTTTTCATTGATTTTATAGATGATCAATCAGAAAATACATTTGTTTCAGGAGGTAACTGTTTCTGTTTCTGTACAAGGGACCACTTCGATACACGGAAAATTCATTCGCAGATCTAGGCTCATAGAGAATGAGGTGAAACTCATTTTTACCAATAAAAACTTGGCTAGTGAAACAACAAGAAACAATCCTGAGTTGGTTATATCAAAATAAGGTCCTAAAACGTTATCGATCTTTAGATTTCACGGTGACACAAAAGTTATGAATTGATTTGAACCCTTGTATTAATATACGGAAAAATCTTTTCGCATTTTCGGTTAAATATTGTTTTATGAACAGAAAAAATGGAAAATTTTAAATCATGAAATAAAAAACGCAAGGTAATACTGTAGCTGGATATGCAACCAATGATCAACGAATTTCAAAGTTTCATAAACAAAAAGCGAAACAATATTAAATTGACAGAAATTCAAAATTTGGTCAATTTTTCAAAAATAAGAGGAGGCAAATGTTTCGGTCGCCTTGAAACTCCAAATGTTGCTTCGAGTGATAGTTTTATACTTGGGTCGTATCGAACCTGATATCTTTGTAAAATATTCACAAGGTACAAGAATAATTCAACATTGGCTAAGCCTTCACCGAGACAGATCCTTTTACCTCCACTAAAGGGAACCAAGTAAGGTGGCTTGATAGCTTTACTCCCATCTTCAGACAGATATCGGTTGGCATCAAATTTTTCTGGTTCAGGCCATAGTTTTGGATCTCGATGAATGCTCCATAAATTGAAGATTACAATAGTATCTTTGGGAATATTGTATTTACCAATCTTTGTGTCTCTTGAAGCTCGACGAAGTAAATTTACAGCAATGACGGAACCAATGCGTTGAGCTTCATAAAGAAAAGCCATTGTGAAAGGCATTCGATTCCTATCCGTATAAACAGGTTCTCTGTCAAATCCAATAACATCGGCTATTTCAGCTCGTATCTTGTCTTGATATTCAGGATAGTAAATCAAATACATCATTGCCCATGATAGTGTACTTGTGACAGTATCGGATCCTGCAGCGAAAAATGCAGTCAAATTACGTCTTAAAACTCCCATGCTAAACATTTCATCATTTCTGTCTTTATTTTGACGATTTTTTTGTTCCACCAAGTAACCATCAATGTAATCCTCTATTTCATTTACTCTTGATTCAGATTGATGCTTATCAATCTCTTTTTGCAACAAATCTTCAACAGCATGTACATGCTTGGAGATCACACTTACACGAAACATTCCAAGAGCAGTCGCTATTTTGACAAGCCAAGGTAAAAATGTACTCAATCCAGCAAATTGAAAAGTTTGGTTAACACGATCCATGTTCTCATCTAAACCGATTTTGTATGGATCCGAATAGCTAAAGTTGTGACCGAACAGCAGGATTGATATATTATTTGATACACTGGGTAATAGTTTCGTAAAAAAGTCAACTTTACCCTCACCAATGGTTGGTAAAAATTGTTTGATTTCCCTTCTTATAGCCTCTTCCATTTTACTCGTACCAAGACCAAGATCACGAAGTACATGCAAAGAAACACGTCTATGAAAGCGCCAATCATCCCCAGACATCTCAGCGAAAGACGGATATTTGATTATTCCTTCAAAAAACAGTTCATGGGGCTTAGCGAGTAGAGACTCATCAGCAAACGCTAACTTAAGATGATCCCAATCACAAATGACAACAACATCATGTTGTCCCAACTTTAAACTATAAACTGGTCCATACTTTTTGGATAAAGAATCAAACTGAAGGTAACTTTCGTCTTTCAGGAATGGATAATAACCAACAATTGGAAGTCCCCATGGTCCAGGTGGTAATCGGAATAATCTTTTGATTGTTGTCACAAGAAAATTGAACACAAATAAAAATATGAGTCCAGTTGCTATGCTGTATAAGGGTTGAGAAAAGACAAAATAATTGGTTAAAAACATTTCAATTGACACAAGTGGAGAAGTGAAGTTTAATGACAACAAACCTAGTAACCAAGAAAATCTGGTAACAGTCTAGTTATAGCAAAGAGTACAAGAGTACTGAATGATTAGGAGGAGTTACTGACACAGGGAGGAGCGTTAATTAAACACACAGTTTGATCCAATCACAAAAGAAACTCATGCGTTTATGCCAATTCATTAATCCATAACAGTCAAAGATTAATGCAATAATCTTTGATAAAAATGATTATACAGTACTGTTGCACATTCTGTTTGAGTATTTTCCTACCAACACTCAATGCTTGCATAATTGGTCAAACAAATTGACCAGGAATCAGCTACAGAATCAGCTTTAATACCTTTTCCTTTGATGGCATTTTCAATGTTTTCATTTCACTGGTTGATAATAAATTTAAAAAGATGCTCTTATTGTTAGTTACTTCTTCAGTCCGTATAACTTGACTCTTATCGAAAAGCTATGAATCCTTGAAACATTAGCTATCATGTTATTGACAAACACCATTTGATATCATCGTCTAATTATTTGAAAACAATTTTCATCAACACTTCACGTGAAAACTAATCCAATAAGATACAATTTTCAGAGATTCTTGATCTCTGAATGAACAAACAATCGGATAGAAACCATTATATTTTAATGATTAGATTCTGGTAAATGAATAGCTATTAGACAAGCAGAAGCTTCAAAGGATTCACTGAGAAAATGAAAGCTCTGAAATCATTCTTAGCAGTGAATTGAAATTCTTGATTGTAATAGTTGCATCATTTTCATAACGAGATTTTCTTAATGATTTCAACAGTTAGTCAACTTGACTTACCAAGGAATCTTTGTTTTAAAGAAGTAGTGAAAGTTTTGGCCAAATGATAAACTCGTTCAGATGAATGTTGGCGATGAATAAACATATTTAAATGAGTGCTCAATCATCTAACTCATCAATGGATCACATTCAAGTTTTAACTTGTATTGAGGATTAGAGATGGCGTTTGTGAGTCTGATACAGTTGAATGGAAAAGGCAAATGAACATTTCAATTGAATTTAATGATACAGATTAATGATTAATTGATGGTTGATTGTTTTTTACCCATAAATTGAGGAAAACCAATTGTGTTGATGATTGAGGTACAAAAACGCCCTGAAAATCACATTCAAACATGAATAATTTGGCCTCTGAAATGTGGACCAGTTGATACTGATGGCTTTAACAAATCAATTACTCTGTCAATCATGTAATTGATGTAACACCTAAAATATTGATCACGAAACATTAATAGTCCTAAACTGATGAACAATCAATATTTTAATCAGTCAAAAGTCATCACAGCCAACAAGCCGACATCTTTCCCTGCTTAGACCAATAAGTCCAATCAGACTACTTAGATTCTAGACATGGCAGGCGATCTGTTCAATATGAAATAAAGTCTAAATAATTGATCGATTTCCTGAGTTTTGTTCAAAAGCATTTTGCGAATCGCCAATTCTGCAAAAACTTCATTTGCTTCCAAAATCTTTTCTTTACTTGGAACATTTTTCAGTTGAATTTGGTTACCAAAGCTCATAAATGACAACAAAGAATCCTGTGTTTCCACATTAATCTGAAAGGTCAATTTTCGTAATTGGGTTTTGTCTCATTTTCAATAAAAACTTTCTTAAATATACAAAGAGTCTTTGTTGAAGAGCAATAAAAGTCCGAGCAAACATTAGCTTATAAAGAACCCAATAGATGGCTGTTTGACTTCGGTTAATTTACCTTCAATTTATAGAGAGTTGAGTTGAAATGTTATGTTAAGAGTGAAACAAGTTTAGTTAGTCTTAAGCTTTAGTAAGTGTAAGGTTTAAGCAACATTGTTCATTGTAATGTTATGTGAATCAACAAACTGTTTAAATGGTTCAACAAATTCAATTGTAAATCAGTGTTAATTAACGGTCAACACTAATTATTGGATTACAAAGTGAAAAAATAAAAGTGTTACTCTTCATCTAACATCACCAAAAGCGCTTCAACTGTTAGTCAATTTCAAATGTTAAACTCAACATTAACTTCAAAAAGCTCACTTTTTGTGATCAATTCACTTCTCAGGATTAATTGTTAAGTCAATCTTTTTCCTGGTTAATCACACAACTTGCATATTAAATTGCTACTGCCAATTGTTGACCAATCAATTTTTCGTTTCTTTGTTAATCTGATTGTGATAATACACTTTAATTGAGTTAAAACTGACCTCAATTGTTGATTAAATTTTTGTGCTTTTTTGCAATTTTCATTTTCTATTTTGTTTACTCTTACAAATTCAACTAAACAACCATTGGATTAAATTAACTGCAACAATTAAACTCGGCCAATCAACTGTGCAAATTGTGATCATTCAATTTTCAAGGTAAATTTTTCCTATCAATCAATCAAAACTTTTTCCTTACAATCAACTTTCATTAATGCTTACTAAATACCATTAAATGCATTTGATAATTTCATTAAACAACCCATCAGGTTAACCTTGCAATCTTTACCAAACTTTTGCAAAACTTTTGCTTTTGAAAGTGAAATATTTTCATTTTCCTATGAAATGAAACTCATTGAGAGATTTGATGCTAAAAGTAAAGATGATGAAGATGATGATGAAGATGATCAGCCAAGCGTTTGTTTTGTTGTTGGCTCATTACGATTGAAACAAAGGCTACTTTTGTCAGTAAAGTTGTCATCATTATTTGGCATATTTATGCTTTTTAAAAATATTTACATCGTTATTGAGATTCAGCAAAATGTAAAGATAAAGTTGGTCCAAATGTTAATCTTGGTAAACGTTAATTAAACAAATTATATTCAAAAGTCAAACTCACCTCAAAAGTACGAACCCAGTTTTAAGGGAAAAGGCAATGAATGATCGATGCGATCACAATCTTGAGTTAAAATCAAACTTGGCTAACTATTGAAGTTGCAGTGAAAAGTGAAATGCCAAAGAGAAGAGCAAAAAATTGAAAAAATCAAGATTAAACTGCAATTAGCTCAAGTCAATTATCAATTTGTATCGATCATTTGTTTGATCAAACGTTAATTAGATGTTGAACTTAATTTGATTGAGAACATTGAATATTTTAATGGAAAAAATTGTTCATTGTATTACATGGAAATGAAGAAAAAAATTGATCAATCCAGAATTTTTTGTGTTTCTCTTTTTGTTGTTTTCATTTTTGTTTTGTTTTTTCTACCTTTTTGTTTGTTACCTTGAGGCATTTATTGAGAGGCTGTCGACTTGTAATCATTTTCAGGGCAATTTCAATGTTGATTTTTCATGTTGATAATGTTGATGGGAATGATAATGAAAAAGAGATAAAAGTTGATGGTTTAACAGGCAACATGATGGCAATCAAAGGATGAACCAGAAAATATTGTAATCTAGTTAAATTGGTTCACTTAATGAGAAACCTTACCAATCCAAACCTTGTTCATCTTTAATCCAAATGTAATACAAAAAAGAGGAAGAAAAAAGAGGAAAAAATACATTGACATCTTACATTTGAGTTTGAATTTTGGCAACAAAACAAAAAGTTGAACATCAATTGAACAAATTCTGTATTGATTAACATCAATTGTTTCAATTTCTCATGAGATTTTCATTTTCATCTTTACCTTCTTTTACCCTCCAACCTTTTTAATCAACTAACTTCCATGGTGGAAAAGGGCACAAAAGATTGAAACTCTTGAAATTTTCGTTAACTAATTGAACTAACTCAATATTATAGAGTCAAAAGTTGAGCAAAAAGTCTTTGCATAAGATTCACAAAAACTTCCGTCAAAAACATCGAAAGTACGAAAATATCGAATCAATAGTGATTTCCAAAAGTTTAATATTCGACTTTGAGATTCGAGTTTTTAGACTTTTCACTTTGTTCTCATAAACTCAACAAAAAGTTCAGAACCGAGTTTCCTCAGTCATCTCAAGACTCGATAAAGGGATGAGAAATTGTCAGTTAAAGAACTTAAGTCGAAAGAAAAAGTTTCGAAAATTTTGTGCAAAAAGAATGTCGAAAAACGGTAAAATTTTGAATTTTCATAAAACTTTTTATTCTTTTAGTTTGATTTCAAACTGAATTTGCAAAAATGCAAAACGAATGCAATTTGTTTTCGTTGGAAAAAGTTGAGTTCTGAAATTTTTGAACGAAGATTTTTCGATTTTAGAATAGCAAAAGTTCCAAAATTTTCATTTTACTTTTGCTAACTTTTGTTCAAGTGATCGATAAAGTTGATCCAAATACAAACCTTGTTGATCTTTATAATTATTTCATCAATAATTTCATCGATAATTTGATTGGTAATAATAAAGATGATAATAATGATAATGATATTAATGTTAACCAATAAATATTGTTAAGATATTATCAGTTATTGTTGGCAATAATAATATAATAATAATAATGTTTGGATAATTGTAAATGTTGATAAAAATGCCTTTTCAGGATTACCTTTTTCACTGTATTTCATGATTTACTTTTCTGCTAATAATAGCAATAATAATGATTGTGATTGATAAATTGATTTTGTCTTTATGTACAACTTTGTTCAATTGATGTTACATGAAAAGTGAAAAGATGAAAAAGATTGATTCACATTTTGTGGTCAATTCTCGCCTCATATTGACCTCTGGATTAGCCTCTCTTTTATAGCCTGATAAGTCAACTTTTGACAACCTTTTTGTTCATTTCTTTTCTCACTCTTTTCTCTGCTTCTCTCTCATCCATGGTCAACTGTATAGAGTTTGACCGATTCTTGACCAAACCCTATAACTTGAAACTTTTGCCTTTTGACATTTCACATCTTTCCCTTCATCTTCATCATCCTTCACTTCTTAATCTTCAACTGTTGCTCCTTCAACTTTCACTTCAATCATAATTTTTCGAACATTTTTTTCTTCTTTTTTTTCAAATGTCCTTTCAGGTTCAAAAAAATAACTCACATTTTTTAGGAAACTTTTTCTTGTAAAATTTTCTCTTGCAATTGTGACTATAATTTTTTACCTTTTTTTCATTTCACATCTTTTCTTGCTTTTCCTCCTTCAC